TCAGTGCAGAGGTAAGTGTTGCATGGTTTATGCTGTAGTTCAGAGAAGTCAGGCCCTCTTGGAAATGCTTCCTTCTTTAGATCAAAATTCTACATCTGAAGCAAATGGGAGGCCAGCAAGTCACAGAACTTTTTGTAACGATCTTTAAGGAAACCATCAGGACCCTGAGTTTAGCCGAGCTGGAGTTTGTGACTGTTGTTGTTGTTACTGCTTGAATCTACGGTAGAGCCCCTCAAGTTTGTTTTAGATCATTATTAATTTCTCCTAACTCACACAAATCAGCAGGAAGGTAAATATCCACCAACGCAAAGTATTTCTCAAAAGTTAAGAAGTTTTTGGTAAAAACCCAAGCCTTATTAATCTTTTGCAGATGACAATCCATATATTGCTGATGATTAAAGATACCCATGTGTTACAATAGGGTTGCAGACGCACAGCCCATCTCTCTTTTTTCTCGATCTTTCAGTAAAATCATCATGCTAAACTGGTGACTTTACAATCGTTTCCTTGGCAAAAGATTACTCTTGTAAGCACAGAGGAAAAGAGCCCTACTCACACACAAGTGTCTTCAATAACGGTGGGAGAACACAGGATACTACTGGCACAGTAAATTGCCTTTCTTCTGAAAACTCTCTCTCTCTCTCCTTCCCATCCTGCTCCATGTGCCCGAGTGTAAAAGCGCCGCTTTGAAACCACTTCGTCTTGTAGATCAAACACGTAAGAGAAAATGACAATAATAAAGCCCCAAACATCCTAGGAATAGCTGGGAGAAAACCCTCTAGGACAGTTGGAAATACATCAGTGCGGAAGTATGCAGCTATGTTGAGTGCACTACTCGTGTTTCTCATGCACACGAGTGGGAACTGCCGTCGGATTTTAAGGAATTATCCTAAAATTGAAGCTCAATCACTTTTCTTTGGGGGAGGGGAGTCCTTTCCCTCGGTCCTCTCCATGTTACCTAGTTGCCAACTTTTCTGAGTGGGAGGCTTAGGCGATAAAGGATTCTTGTGGGGACTTTTAAGTTTCCTCTTGAACAGTTATCTCCTGTTTCTTAAGAATGGGAGCTAGGAGAGTGATGGTTTGCATTTTACCTATAAAATACAGAAACACATAATCATTTTAAAACAACTTTCAAACAGCACTCCAAAGATTCTACCCTGAAATAAATAATTAACAGCAGGTTTCTGAGATTTCTTCACCGGGCAACTAGTTTGTTTCAGTTACAACCAGGTGTGCTGAGAGATCCCAACACATTGCCAGTTGGCTGGGGCCAGGGAGGCAGACCTTGCAGGCAGCTAAAGAAACAACGCATCACTGACAACTTCCATTCATCATCCCGGCTCCGGCCAGGGGTAGAAGCTGGAAAGAATGGTCTCCATGTGCGCTCCCGGGGAGGAGTCTTCAGGGCCTGCGCACTTTTGAAAGAAACCCGGCAGTGGTCTTTTATGTGCGACTGCATGTGCCGGGAGGACGCAGACGGGGCACTGTGTGGTTCGGCTTCCCTCTCACAGATGGCCTCTCTGCTTTGCAGGCAATGGGGGTGGACAGGTGTGTGGTGGCCCAGATACAAATGGGCACCTTGCTGTGCTGTGACATGTTGCTCCTTTCTCAGTTATCGGAGCTGGGCGTGAGTCTTGCAGAATACCTTGTGGCAAGCACCGGGATGCCATCGGTCCCTTTTTTACACCTTTGCTGAGGAGGATTTCTCACCTCCTCCCCAACTGTTATAGGTGTTTGCAAATGATGTCATTTTTCTTCCTACACCCCTCCCTATGCCTTTTACCTGGGACATCTAGGGACATCTAGAATCTGTGTTTTCCTTTCTGTTTAACCAAAATACTAGTTCCAGATTTAGCAAATGAAACTCCAGACCAAGAACCAACTCAGTTCAACAGATTAAATTGTTCTAATCTGGAATTTTGACAAATGATTTGGGAAATGAGGACCCATACAAGTACTCCTAAAGGCTTCCAGTCAATCCCGACTGTGCTTTACTTTTGGAGGAAGATAAGTAGAACTCTTTTTCTACATATGTCCAAGAGGTGATTCATAAAGGCAGTATCATTTATTTTGCCCCGATAGCTGTACTCACTCATTAAAAAATAAAAACCTGTCTGAGGCTTTTATGTGAAAAGTCCACCTCTCAGATGTCAACTGATCAAAGTGCTGAGCTGCCTGTGAGATCCATAATTGTGCTCGCACGGCCACCGAGGGCACCGGCTCCTGCTGCCTGCTCGCCGACTGTTCTGGCAGCAGGAATAGGTGTTTTCCTGTGTCCACTGGGGAAGCACATGCATTTTAAAAAAAAATTTTTTTTTTTTACTGGTGCATCTTAGCTGCTGATGCCTGAAAATTTGGCCTCAATTGTTTATAGAAAGGAAAAGCAATCTGAGCTGTCAGCCTTGATATTACCTAAACCTGCATAGAATGTGGTAAAATAATGCAAGATTTGTTTTGTAGGCCTGTTTCATATTTTCCAGGCAATAGATCAAATCAGTTCAGGGTTCATTTTTAGTTCTTTAACAAGCTGACGCAGTGTGCTGGCAGTAAAATAAGAATGCACTTTCACATGGAAGTGCCACAGAGACCAACTTGCTCTTTGTGCTATTTATTAATAACTAGAGAACCCTCAAAAATTCATTTCAGCACTTTTGATGGGAACACTGAGATTCTAGTTCTTTCTAGTGTAATGAGCACCATCTCCATTTTGTTATCTTAGCCTTATTCCCTTGTCAATGCCTACTTTCTTCTGCAGTTTACAAGTGTTTTACACAACACACAAGCCATGAGAAGAGTGAATAAATCATCCATATGCTTTTTCTCTCACATTCTTCCCTAAATTTTCACTCTTCCATATGCTGGAAATGTCCTCCCCTACATACCCACTCCTTGACTTCTTACACCAAAGTCACCCCAGGAAAGCCACCCCTGACCACCACACCTCAAATGCCAGCCCTCAAACCTGACACTTTTTGTCACTGTTTTCTCTCCTTAGCCTTTATTTCCATGACCATACTTGACCATTTCTTTGTGTTCTTGGGTCCGAATTATCTGTCTCCCGCTGGAATATAAGCTCCATGAAGACAAGGATCATCCTGTATCTGAGATTTCTTTGTTGGGCGACTATTTCAGCCAGCAGCCAGTGTTCCATATCCTATCTAATAAAAGAGTAATATGCAAATTGACCATCACTCCAAGACACAAGATGGTTGTCCCATGTGGTCAAAGATGGCTGCCCCCATGTGGACACAAGATGACCACCACAAGATGGCCTGCAGAGCAGAGCAGTTGTGGGAAGTTAGGGGTGACCAGGCTGGCCGAGGAGGGAAGTTGGGGGGACCAGGTCTGCAGGGGAGGGCAGTTGAGGGGGAGAGGGACCAGGCCTACAGGGGCAGGCCATTGGGGGGGAGCAGGCTTTCAGGGGAGGGCAGTTAGGGGTGACCAGGCCAGCAAGGAAGGGCAATTGGGGGTGACCAGGCCTGCAGGGGAGGACAGTTAGGGGCAATTTGACCAGCTGGGAAGCAGTTAGATGTCAATCAGGCTGGCAGGAGAGTGGTTAGGGGTGATCAGGCTGGCAGGCAAAAGTGGCTAGGGGCAATCAGTCAGAGGCAGGTAAGGGGTTTGGAGCCAGCAGTCCTGGATTGTGAGAGGGATGTCTGCCCGCCCTTTTAGGCTTGATCCCACCAGATCAGGCAGTCCTAAACAGGTGGGCGGACATCCCTCAAGGGGTCCCAGATTGGAGAGGGTACAGGCTGGGCTGAGGGACACCCCCCCTCCCGTGCATGAATTTCGTGCACTGGGCCTCTAGTATATTTATCAAATGAATGAATGGAAGTCATTTGTCCCAGGCTTTGGTTTCTTTGTTACATGATGAATGATGTGTTTTTACAGCCCGATTGAATGTGGTGCACTAAGGTCTCTGTAGACTTCACCCCTGTCCCTTCCGACAAAGATCTGAGTGTGGCCTATTGTCTCCTGGAGTCAGACTCAGCATCAGGGCCTGCAGTGCAAGGCTGCATTCAGTGATCCAGCCTTTTTTGAGGCATTTTCTCTGGGCTGAGTTTCCCTTGAACACCATCAAAACCAACCTTCCTCCCATCTCTGTCTGGATTCTGTGCCTCTTCTCCTTCTCCAGCATTTTGGATAATACCCTGTTTCCCCAAAAATAAGACAGTGTCTTATATTAATTTTTTCTCCCAAAGTTGGGCTAGGTCTTATTTTCAGGGGATGTCTTATCTTTCCATGTGCTAGGTCTTATTTTCAGAGGATGTCTTATTTTCGGGGAAACACGGATAGCATGGATTTGAGCTAAACAGCTTATTCCTTCTTCACATAATAATGCAGTTCATGGGAGCAAAGAAGCCAGCCTGGCCCTCCACCTATGGGAAGCCAGAAAACAAGACTTTGTGGACTGGCGACGTTTGCATTCGCCACCCTTGCAGTCCTGGTGCCCTGGACAAATGCATTGAGCCTCGCCATTGCTTTGCTGGGTTCTGAGAACATCCCGTGCTTCTCTGATGTTAAGTTTTACTGCCCATGAAGGCAAACATCACCTCCGTCACGGCCAGTTAAACAGTATCTTTTACAGTGGACTTCTGCATATCTGAAACGCACCCATCCAAAGCCAAAAGTAATACGGGGGAGGGGGGAGAGGGGGAGGGAGATTCTATTCTGCCATGTTTCTTACAAGAGGAGATCAAGGGTCAACTCAATTCATAAAATTACTGCAGTCATTTTTTCAGCTGGCTGAGAGACTTCACAGATCAAAAAATACAGTGGCTCCTAAATGATTTCTGATATGCACAATTCGAGCGTTTTTTCTTCTCAGCATGTGGTGCAGAGCCTGCCAGAAACCATCTTTGCGGCTATTGACAGGCGGATTAGAAATCATCCGCGATGGTTTCCATCGCTTCCCTACAGGCTGGTCATCCATTTAAACCTCTCCCCTCAAAGCCTGCTTTGTGCATGCCCTTCCCTTACGTGTTGCTCTTCTCTTTCAGTGTGGTGCTCACCTTGGGCATATTTTTGACGATGGGCCCCGTCCAACCGGCAAGAGATACTGCATCAACTCGGCCTCCTTGTCTTTCTCGCCTGCGGAGAGCGCGGCTGGGGGTGGCGGGCCCAGCAGCCCAGCCCAGGCAGACCAGGAGGAGCTGTAAGAGCCCCGGGCTCCAGAGAAACAAGTGTATTTATCGCACAGCTTATTAACAGAATTCAGGATTGTCTATCTTAGATATATTTTTTCAAAACAAACAAAAAATACAGGGTCAGTTTTGTGCTATTGATATATTTCTTCTTTTGCTTAAACAGAGGCCCTGGCCACCAACGTATTTTGCTATTGACTAGATCCGGAACTGTTTATACCTTTTAGCAGGCCGCGACAGTTTTGTGAAACTTCTCCACAAGCCACTTCAGTATCATTTGGCATAATTTCCCTCATCACATAGCTTCTTTTGAGATGTGTTTCCCCCGATGTCAGAGGCAGCAGTGAAAGCGGAGGTCTCCAGGCGCTGCAGGGGCCTGAGCTCAGAGCAGGGGAGCAGGGAGGAGACCTGTAAGACACATGGCCCCGGGCATTTCACAGATAAGGATGGAGTGATGTCTCCTGAGACTTCTTAACTTTGCGGACTGTTTGAGCTAAGGTCGTTTATTCTCACTAAAAGGGTGTGAAGGTCTAAAGTCTTTCCTTATGTTAAATTGTTGCCAGATCTGAGGGGGCGCAGGGAGCGTTGTGGCAGAGAAGTAAACATTACCTCACGGCAGCGAGGCCCTTACTTTATTTTCCATTGAAAAACGTTGGAATGTAAGACGACTGTACAACGGGGAGCCCCCTTCTGCCCAGAGTTCACAAAGAGGAACACCTGCCCTCGCCTTGTAGAAGTCTGTCCCTGCACACCTCATGTCAGCTGGGTCTGGAAGGGCGTGCTGGTGGATTCCACGGTGCGCGCCACACTGTCGGGAACAAGCATCTCACCAGGCAGCAGAAACCGGAGAGCAGGGGAGTCCCAGGAGGAGGTCCCCGGGGGCCAGGTAGCCAGTATCAGGCAGGAGAGCTGACAGGGTCCTGCCAGTAGCACACGACACCCAAAGACACCCAAAGGGTTGGGCTCTGTGCACAGGTTCAGGCGAACTCTGGAGAGAGGGTGCGAGTTAACACAAGGAATAGCCAGGAGTCCGGTCCCACCCTTGACACTGATCGGTTGTGTGGCAAGAGACAAGCCATTTCGCCTCTCCATGCCGCCTCTTCATGTACAAACGGAGACATACAATATTTGTAGAACACTCGACACTCTCAGGGCAAAATTATTATCTTGCTGCACAGTGAAGATCAGTGTTGTGAGATTAAACGGATCTGGTTCTGGTAGCCCTTGAGGCTGAAACCCTGGCATTTGAAATGGAAAGAAGTAGAGAGGAGGCTGCCTTAGCTGCTTGGTATGGGAACAGCCGGGCTAAGAGCCAGAATTGATTCTTTGTAGCAGCGTGGCTGGCCTTACTCTGAGGAGCCCTGCTCAGCTGCTGTAGGACATTCGGGCCGGTGCGATGGCTGTCACTGTGCATGGATATGAGCCGTGCTGATGGGAGTTGGTATCGCCGCCACCAGGTTTTTACGACTGATAGATTTTTGTCTCTGTGGCCTTGAACGCTAATCCTGAAATGTAGATTTTGAAAAAAAAACACATTATTTTTATAAATCTTTGAAAACATAAAAATTGACATATTTCCTGATATGCACCCAGACAAAAATAAGAAAGAGGGACACCTGACAGTTTTAGAGAAAGATGAGAAACTAAAATGAAAAGTTGTGACAAATCAAGATGTGAGTGCGGTCATGTCTGCATTCTTGTATGTCTCCACCCGCTTCCTGGAGAGGCCCCGAGGTGCCGGTGCCTCCTGGTCCTCGAGGCCCGGCTTCCCATTCCGGATAAGTTATGCTCGTCTTCCCTCACTGCCAGGTGTTTCCCCTCAGGCCAGGGTCGCGGGGGAATTTGCAGGTTTCACTCCCCTGTAGACAGGCATGAGATATAAAATTTAAGATCATTGAAGCCTCAGCATCCAGACAGCTTTAGAAGCTGCTCCTGACCTCACAGAAGAAGCCCCAACATTACCCAGTGTCCCAACGATCCCATGAGGCGTCGGCCAAAGAAGTGGGTCTCCCCGGACATTTCCTGCCGCGGCGTGAGCCTGTCCTTTGGGGGTCCACGCAGCACTTCTCACATCCCCCCCGAGTTAGGTGTGGCGGCCTGCCCCGGGGTCCCTTGGACCCAAGCCACAGTGTCGGGATAGACAAGGAAGATAAACGAGGGGCTTCTTTCCTCTCCCCAGAGACTCTGGGTTCTTAGCGTTCCTTCACTTTTATTATAGGGCTTAACATTTCCCTCAAAAAAAAAATCTCCGTTTCTAATCCTTAGTCTTTGTTTCACGGGAAGCCAGTTTTTATTCTACCACGTTTCCCAGCATCAACTTGAAGAAAAATGTAGCATCCATCGGGAAAAAAAAAAGTGGTTTGATTCCAGATTGCTTTTGAGTTTAAGTGGTATCAAATTTCAGTATATTTCTGTCTTATGTTAGGAAATATATTACTAAAATGTCAGTGAGCAATAATGTCAGCTGTCGAGCACTAGATTTATTTTTGCAGGATATGGAGTGCAATGAACTGAGTCAATATGGCGAGGTGTGTGTGATCTGTGGGAGTTATGCCATTTAGCATAGGAAATGCAGGGGACTTTCCCTCTCCGCCCCGGTCCTTGCTGTGCCGTTAGGAGACGCAGACTTCTGCCGCGTGTACAAAGTCTATCCAGACAACCAGGCAGAACAGGTCTGAAGAAAGCAGCAGTATATATCACATTAGAGGGCATTTCTGTGTATTTTAACCTTGTACTTCTTTAGATGCATTTACATTCTTAATGCAAATAACATAGTCATTTAAAAAGCCTCTCCAAGTTAACTGAACTGAAAATGTCTTGCTTTAAGTACAGAATACAACGGATTACTATTTGTTCAGAAGGACAAATATTCTTTCTGCCTTAGATAGCTTTGTAATAATCTTTTCTCAGACGATTCAAAACTTTTGAAAATGATGTGAAATTTTCATTAGAAAATCCCTTTCCTATGGTTATTGTATACAATAATTAGTGCAATAAAATTTCTTTATAAAAGTCTTTTCTTGTCTGATTCCTAGACTCCTCATTTTTAGCACAGATACATGGGCCATCCATTGGAGTTTGCCGGTAGGCTGCTCTGCTGACCTCCTCACCTGGCTGACAAGCCTGTAGTTCGCGTGGAGGGCCTTTCACCTGTGTGGCACTTGCAAGCTGGGCTCTAGGTGTAGGGGGGAGTCCCAGAACCCAGGAAGGGCCTCCGGGATTTGGAAGATCAGAGGAAAGGGAAACATTTGCCGAATTACTCCACCTTCACCTCACCTCACCTCAGCAGAAACTTTAGCAGCTTGTCTGTGTTTTTCTGCTTCAAATATGGACGTTGGGGAGTTTCATCCCGATAGGACTGTGTGGATGAAAATACAGGAATGGTACCATGCTGATGCCTAGGTTTCCGTTAAACAGTTTGACAGAAGACTTACACTGTTCTCAAGAATTGGTCTCTAAGGAAATACATAAGGAGTTGCCCATTGCTTCACCCATGAGTTTACCTTTAAAATCATCTCTGCAGAAGCGTTTCGGTACACAGCCATGCATCACATAATGCTTAGGTTAACGATGGACTGGATCGACATGACGGTGACCCCACAAGATGGTCCCACACCAAACGTGTAGTCTCCAGGCTGCAGCATCAGCATCACCTAAAAATGGCTACCAATACAGGTGTTCAGGCCTCTCCCACTCACTGCACCAGGAATTCTGGGTTGGGCCCTCACAATTTGTGCTTTAGCAAGCCTGCCATGTGATTCTGGTTCTTGTTCAAGTTTGAGAACCTGTGCCTTGGAACTTCTAGTGATAAAAATTCAATTCTCATTTCTATCTGACTGCCCCCTCCCTCCAAAGGCCTGATTTGTCATCTCTGGTTGTCTTGCTATAGAGATGGTCAGTTTTCCCAATGCTTCATGTCTTTCAGTTCTTCTTGCCCTTCACTGCTGTCTGTCTTGATGCCTAGTCAACCAGCACCACCTTATCTTCTCGTAGTGTTTCTAGGTTTACTGCAGACTGCCCAGTGGTGCTCAGCTGCCTCTCTGAACTGCTGGTGTCCACAGCAGGGTTCATCTCAGCAATTCCTAGAATTAGAGAGCAGACCTACATGGCGATCCTGTATGTACAGACAGGGTGTGCCAGGAACACGGAGAGAGCTGTTACAGAGCTCCATGTGACCTTAGGGCTGTTCACTAAGGTCTTTATGACCCACATAGAGTGTGAGAGCTCCGTCCAGAGAACTCCTGATTCCTGTCTTGGTTAAGATCTCTATCATTAATGTTGATGTTTCCCCTGTTGATAGAGCTCTTTCTCTGAAAGCATTGCTGATCAGCAGTCAAGTCCTTTCATTTCAGTGGCCTTGTGTCCCTCAGTACTAGGAAAGATCTCAACTGGGTGTTTCTGCTAACCTTGGAGGGAAGGTGCGTGGACTGGAACTGCTCCTGTGAAGGCTCCACAAGCAACAGGTACATAGCTGAACAACAAGAAGAACATGCTAGGAGAGTCAAATTAAAAACAACCTAACAAGCTTAGTCTGTATGATTCCAAACCAGGAGCTCAGACCTGCAAGTAGTGAAATAAGGGGTCATTATTGTCTTGGACAGATTGAAGCTCTTGATGACAGATCCAGCAACTGGAGAGGTTTCCCCTTTCACAATAGATTGGGAAATGTGGACCAGGGCCTTTTTCCTTCTAAGAAAGACAAATGGAACGAAAGTAAGAAGCAATAGTAAGACAAAGTTGTGCAGGCTTGGGCTGGTGGTTTAGGGAAAGCTTTGCCCTTCAGATGCTACACGTTTCTGTATGCAGTTTCAGTCAGGATTTGGTGAAGGCACTTCTTTAGGTGCGATGCATGAATTCAAAAGTCTACCCTCATTTTACTCTTCAAATATGCACCAGCTTTGGACCATGAGAAATCAGCATTACCCAAGTAGCCTCCTGCAGATCATTACGGAGGGATGGGTGATTCTTTAGTGTTAAGCAGTTGTGAGGAGCTTTGTCAGTGTCATGTGAGGAGT